AAAAGATATGTTGCATTGGGGAAATCTGCTGTCTCCAGAGTTCTAAAGAGTAAGGACGTTAAAGACTAAGGTGCACCTGATCCAGGCCATGGTATTTTCAATTGCTTCCTATGCATCTGGAAGTTGGACAATGAATAAGGATGACTGAAGAATCACCAATGCCTTTGAATTGTGGTATTGGTGAAGTACCATTAGGGCAGGGATTTTTGTTTGTTTGGGTCTGTTGGGACATTCTTGGCACCTCGCTCAGGGATACTGGTGAAGAATATTGAATATGTCATAAGCTGTCAAAAGAACAAACAAACCTGTCTGGAAAGAAGAAGTGCAGCCAGAATGCGCGTTAGAAGCACGAATGGAGAGACTGCCCCACACAGTGAGGCCATGTTATCAAGGCAGGTCCCTGGAGAAGGACATCACGCTTGGTCAAGCGAAGAAGTAGCAAAAAAGAGGAAACTGATGGGATGGATTGGCACAGTGGATAAAACAATGGGCTACAGCATTGGCTACAGCATTGATTACAAGGATGGTATATGTTAGTTGGGGGAAAAAAAAGAGAGAGAGAGAAAGAAGCTGGTCCCAAGCATGGTCCGAGAGGGAAGCCAGGTGACAGCTCACAGAAAGGATCTAAGTGGTCCACAGGCAGTCAAAGATAGTTTCTTTTTATAGGGGCTTTTAGGGAAATTTAGGCAAGATGGGACAGGGGTAACTCATGGTTGCTGTGACGCTAAACACTGTGAAACTGATGTGTCAAATGCGATAATGGTTACCCATGGTGGACAGTGTTTGGTGGAGCCTTCCGATTAAAACAAGCCTGGAAGCAAGAGTGGCATCCACTTCTGAAACAACTTGCCTCCGGAAACTCCATGAACTTAGAGAAATGATGAAAATTACACAAGTGTTCAGGTCTTTCATTCATAAGGTTGCTATGAGTCATCTACAACTTGATGGCACTTAACAACAACAGTAACAGGGAAGATGACAATTTGCTCAGAACTTGGGGTAGGGGTCCTGTCAATGTGTGATCAGGTCCAGAGCCTTATCTGGATCTAGTCATCTAGTGGCCTGATCAAGAGATAAGGTTCCTGCGAGGAATGATCAGGCCTGCGGCAACTGAAACATTTTTCCCTCCAGTATAGGACGGGGCAGGGTTTCATTCTGTCCACGTCCACCTAGTAAAACAAGCAACAACATTGTGCCTGGAATATTGTAGACTCAATAAATAATTGGGGAAAAATGGAAATAATAGATAGGGAAGTTAGAAGGAGCTAAGAAATAGGAAGCCAGAACAAACAACTCTCATAATCTATAATCTTCAAAGAAAGAAAATTTTCTTCAAATGGGAAACATTGGAGTACATTTTCAGAATGTTAGGGGGAAGGTGCCCAGCAGTAAATGGTTAAGAAATAGCTGCTAAGTGAAGGGTTGGTGGTTCAAACTCACCAGTGGCTTCTTGGAAGAAAAGACCTGGTGATCTGCTCTCCATAAAGATTACAGCCTACTAAATTCTATAAGGCAATGCTACTCTGCCACAGAGTCACTGTGCAGGAATCCACTTAAGGGTACACAACAATAGGGGTGGAAAGATCAGTGCAAAAAGGACATGTGATGTCAGAAAAGGGATATTTGGCTATGCCAATTCTTGGGGGAATGGGATCTCCTCGGAAGGGACTAAGACAGGAAAGGAGCATACAAGGGAAATACTGAATACAGTGAGATTTCAGGACTTGAAGAAATTTATACCTGGTGCTCAATTTTCTATCTCAAGGATTTGGGAAAGGTTTCTGCGATAAAGGTTTGGACCAAACACTTTGGAAAATGAGAATGTGAGTTGATTTGGAGAGAAAAAGCTTACCCAGCAAGGCTGCGACACAAATCATAATCTATTATGATTAGGGTGGGAGGATTTTACCCAACAACTCTGGACAGTCAATGAAAATCAAAATTATCAGTTTTTATAAGAAGTAGTAAATCCCTCATTCGATATTTCAGAAACTAAACAAAATGCAGAACTCTGAGACATGATAAGTAAACTAAATTCTGAAACCATTTGTGGTGCTTTTAATCAGCAGAGAGAATGCAAGATGGTGTTCCTATAAAGAATAAATCTTAAGGACAAATCTGGAGGAACCAGGATAAAAAGTGAGCCTTGGATATGTAGGCTCTGAAAAACTAGATGCCTCTTGAAACTCTACAAACTCTCTAAACGCTACAAACTCTCTAAACTCTATAAATGTACAGAAATGATGTTAGTTATAGACCAGAGTTCAGGTCTTTTGTGCAAAGCTTACTCTCAGTCATATTCAACTTGATGACACTTAACTACTGCTAAGTGAAACCAGTGCTGTTGTATCTGGAGGAACACTCTTCCACTTTGTACATCACTCTTTGTCAACGTGCAGTATGAAGTAACCTGGGTTTGCTGTGGTGCTGAACCTTGTACCTTTGGGGTATCAAATATCAGAATGGCTTCCCAATGTGGACAGTGTTTGGTGAAGCTCCCAGTTGTAAAACAGGTTTGGCAGCAGGAGTGGCATCCACTTCCTAAACCACATGCCTCTGGAAACTCTATGAATTTGGAGAAATGACAATAGGTATGGAAAGGTATTGGGTCTTTTATTCCTAGAGTCACTACGATTCGCACTCAGACTGTGGGCAATCAACAACAGAGGTGCTTGACAGAAAAAGCACAGGCACAGACCTCCAGCAGACTCCCCCCCAAGAACTCTTCACCTCCTTAGACCAACCCCACCCACTGCCTGCTACAGCTGAGCTCACAGAACCTCTCTAAACAGACAGAGCAGCTGAGCTGGGGGGTGGGGTGGGGAGGACTTTAAAAGAAGGGTGTGATCTTCCAATCACCAGTCTGCATTTATCTAGATTACCTAATGGCTGAATGAACAAAATGAAGATTTCACAACTAAGTACAACAGGTATAAAAATAACATCTTATGTGTGGTTTTAAGAACTCAATGGAGTGAACAAAAGATGGGGAGGGGAAGGGGCAGTCTGACTTAGTGGCAAAAATATAAAAATGCCTTTGAGCAAGCTGTTTTTGTTATTAGGTGCCATTGAGTCTACTAGGACTCTTAGTGGGCCCACGAACGATGGATCTCAACATTGCCTTGTCCTGTGTCATCCTCACCATCTGATATACTTGAGCCCAATGTTAGTCACTGAGTCAATCCATCTTATTGAGGGTCTTCCTCTTTACAATGACCCTCCACCTTTCCAAGAATGATCTCCTTCTCCATGAACCAACCCTTCCCAACCACATGCCCAAAGTATGTGAGTCCATCTTTCATCATCCTTGTCTCCAAGGAGCACCCTGGTTGCACTTTCTCCGAGACATGCTTGTTTGTTTTCTTGGCAGTCCATGGGATATTAGGTACTCTTCTCCAATGCCACAACTCAAAGGCATCAATTCTTCTACTATCATCCTCTGTCCAATTTTCAGATTCCTAACAAGTAATTCAAAAGGCCATGGCCTGGATCTGATGCACCTTACTTAGTCTTTTAAATGACATCAACAAAAGAGAACAGTGTAATGTAGTTGGCCTAGTAAAGTGAGAAGGATAGTCTAGAATGGGCATTTCCAAGCCAGGACTTGCTCCCAACTGTACACTACTCAGCTGTCTTACCAAAATAGTCAACGTATGGGGAAACATTTTGGTGGTTATATTTTGATGCTTCACATTTCAATCTAGGGAGCTCTCCATGACCTAGTGGTAAGGAGTTGTGCTGCCAAGCTGGAGGTACTCAGATCGAATCCATCAACTTCTCCGCGGAGAAAAGATGGACAGCCTCCTTCCATGTGAGTACCTAACATTTCAATGTACAGAGTTGCAGGCGAGTTTTTTGTATCAAGTTGAAGCTCTTTCTGCAACAGGAAATGTATTTTACATCACAGCTTTCAAAAGGGTGGTGCATCCCAAATACTCTTTCCCAACCCACTGTGCAGTCTATTAAAATGTTCTATCCGGTGTGAAAAACAATGTATACAAACTTCATGAACTATGTATATAAACCAGTATAAAATACCATTTTAAAATAGGAAAAAAATACCAATTATAAAAGTGACATCATTAATTCTTTAAAACTATCAACTCATTTTCCAAAGTAAGGGGGCGGGAATTCGGAATACAAAGTCGGCCCAAAGCATTTTAGACTCAAACTGTCGTAAGAAAGAGAGAGTTTCAATTCACTCCCAGTGGGGGAAAGAAAAGAAAAAATTTTTTGCAAAAAAAGTCCTTGAGTTCACAGATGGGTCACGTCCCATGCTAAAAGTGTGTCTTATCCAGGTTCTCCACTTGGGTTAGTTTATGCCTTACACCGCGGTGCTGCTAGGAGAGCCAGCAACTCCCTCATTCATTCAGCATTATGTGTAAATCTACCTGTTGAGCCAGGGGCGGACAAAAGATCCGAGGAGGCTGAGGCTAAACCCCGACTAAAGCAAGTCTAGGAACTACACGATTCAACGCAGGCAAACGAGTGAGAGTGGAGGCGCCCGGAAAAGTTGGTGCAGAAACATGGGAAACATAGCCTTGGGGAGCATGGAGGGCGGGGACGTGCGGCCTGCAGGAGGACGCCGCCTCCGGGCTGGATGCAAGCCCGGGCTTCGGCCGGCCACCTCTGCCAAGGCCACCGCCTCCTCGGCCCTCGAGCCACGCAGAGCAGGCGTCCGACCAGCGCGCCAGGCCTGACCCAGGAAAAGCGCGTCCGGGCCGCCGAGGGCGTGGCGACCACAGCCGGGCCCCACGGGCGCCACAGCCGCACAGCGCGGATGGCACCGCTCGCGCGCGGA